CATCCACCTACCTGGTCATCCAACTATCTGTCTGGTTGCCTTCTGCCCATTTGTTGTGCGCCCTCACTTGGTGTTTGGGGAGAGATGCTCTGTGGGAGGTAGGTGAGAGCACGCAACCACTCATACACCATTTCTGCAACTAATTAAGCGGTCTAAAAGGTTAATAACGTGGCAGGTGGCTAAAAATTCGTTTACAAGAAGGTACCAAGCAAGTTGTAGAGATGCTCAGCGTTTCAAATGCCAATCCACAGTTGTTTGAATGATCAAATAAAACTTATGCATTGAAATCAACAATTTTGAGACTGAGAGCAATTCGACACTGGCTACCACCATTTGATATTTCTTCACTTGAAACTTTATTTTCAAGTTTTACCACCTTCACGCTTTTTAGTCCACTTCACCTCACTAACCGAGGCCTCTGTTTTGATGTCATCGCATTTTCTTGCTTTCGCTGGAGGTTGTGATAACGCATCTCTAACGCTCACGATGTCAACACTTCAACGGTATCTACGATTTTACTATCAGTGTTAGCCAATGATTTCCATCCTTAGAGGGTCTTCTTTTGACCTCTCATTCAGATGAATGTTTGAGCAAAAACGCACAGTGGGTCAATGCTGCAAATACCTCATTCCGCATAGCAATTGACCACGAAATCTTTGGGAAAGTGTGTACTACTAGAGTGCCACGTGCATGTGACGTGGGAGGTAAAAAGGGAGGGAAAACGACTGATACATCCAACCCTAGTCGCCTCTGCTTCTGTCGGCTCACTCTCACCTGGGATCGGTGGATGTCACCGAGACACACGTCGTTAACAGAGTGCAGAGGATGAGAAGGCGACCCCAGTCCCCTTATGTGCCGATTTTCTACTATATCGTACGAGGTAAGCGGGTCTTGCATCTCTGTGAGATTCTTGTAAGACAAGAATCAGTGGCTGGGAATTCGCATTGATCACTCCTGATTCTCTCTTCACAGAATGTGGAGAATAAAGGCACCTCGGCAGGCTGATAGCTCATTCTGACCCGCTCCACTAACCCTGTAAACACTTTCCCCACCTATCCAATGCGAATCTTTCAGAGATCGGCGATCGACTGTAGTTTGAAATGGCATTTGGTGAAATGAGAGATAAAATTTTAAGGTAGGCGGAGAAGTGGGTAATGAGCACCTTCCATTCGTGAGTACAAACAAATGCTGCTAGTGAAGTCTCGCATTTTCCTCTGAGTCATTCCATTCCAACCATTCCTCCGCACCATTTGATCCTCACTTGTAGAGATGCATCGTAAAGGCGACTCGACCAACCTGCTGTCAAATTGTAGCCGTTTCTACTCACCAATGTCAAATCGCCAACGACTAAAAGTTTTAAGTTTTAAGATCTTATTCCTTCCTGGATCTATAAATTGTGTTTTTACATACTTCCTGAAGCATTTTATGAATGTCACTTGCTTTTACATGAGAAATGTAAATTATTGCACTTATGGTTAAGGTTTTTTGGTGGGATAGACGCAGGGGGCTTCACAAAATACAACTTCTGCCTTGGTCACTCCACCTTTTGGCACAGCTTCCTCCGCCACAACCCACACCCGGATCGGAGGAGGAAATAAGCCTCTTGCCTGCATTCTGTGGTCCACTTTCCACTCTGTGAAGTCTCAAAAGTCGGTGTTATTACCACAAATATGTAACTTACTTGTTTAAGGCCTTCGTAGATGCACTAACAACGCGGTTTTAATGAAAAGGGAAAGGTTGTACAACTGACAACCCAATTCCCTAACCATGCAGTGAGAGTGGTGGAAACTTTGCCCGATTCCATGCCTACTTTGAGAATGTCATGTTAGCGGCTTGTTGAAATGCAACGGTGCAATGACCCCAAAAGCAGATCAGTCGCTGACGCATAGCTGTCAGCAAAGGCGGTTTTGCGGCGGTTCCCATATCAAGACGGGAGGACGTCATATTCATCAAAGTTGATGCGGTTTTAGGCTACACTGTGCGCAGACCAACAAATAGGCTGGCAAGTGGCAAGTGGGATTTATAGCCCATTTTTAAAACTTGTATGGGTCCCTAGTTTCCTCCTTTTTTGCATAAAATTTGCCCAAATTTGGACGCTGGTCAACCTCTGTCCGAATGGCAGTTGTGCAGTTCCCTTCACTGTCCACTTTAATAATCTTGGAGAAGTCGATTGCACAGCTTTTAGTCACAAGTGAGTCACACGGAACGGGGAGGGTGAGGGATGACATGACAGAGGTCAGGTCACCGTCTTGAGTGGAGATTTAGTTGTGCGCACGTTAAAAGCATCTCCGTTCCTCGTCTAGAACAATCGACTAGTAAAGACAGTATCTTATTTGGTAATAAAACGACAAAATCAGATGAGGGAAGATGAGGTTAGGTTTGTTGGTTCCACTGTCTGATGTCTATTTCTATTGCGTTATGCAACATGGGAAAGGGAAAGGAGAAGAAGGCGAAAATGTCCTCCCTCTCTCCTTCCGCCTCCCGCTTCACCTTTTAATCATGTCTGATGACTATCGATAGTCACACCATCACACATGGACTCTTCTGTTGTACGTGTCCCTTGCCATTCTTCATTTTGTTTACTCTGAGGGAACTTTCTTTCATCTCTTACCCATGAAGACACTACTCCTGATTTCAGCATCCAGAGGTGGAGGTAGCAGAGCTCATTTCCCTCGAGAACTTTATACGAGGAATGTCAAACACTTTCATCAAACGTGTAGGGAAGACGAATGTCAGTGTCAAGGCAACTGTCTCAGACAAATCCGAAGCCCAATTTGACCTTTTAACACGCACTCAAGGGTCAGAAAAGGGATTGTCAGATGTGATTTTGGCATTCCTTTTAGGTTTCAGTGATTGTAAGATATCGATGAAAGTAATTTCATTGGCTCCGTAGGGAATGAAAACAGGATCCATCTTTGAATGCTTCTTGACATGACTCAAAACTCCCTACTAGATCTGGCATCAGTCTGCTTTCGGAAGGAGGAGGAGGAGGAGGAGATCGTAGCGATTTCAAATCTCTTCTGTCCTCCACAAAACGCATTGAGACCAAACTCAACTCATGAGACAAATTTTCTCCAAACAGTTACAATTACTATTTACTAATTTTTTTTATTTTAGAGGGAAAAATGAGACGCCTAGGGTGTAAATCACTCAGTCGCTGAGTCGGCGTCTTGTCACCTTATCTGCTGGTTACGACGCGGTGCCGTGACAGGACGTCTTGACAACGATGCACACTCACAAGCCCAGTGATGCCACAAACCCTCCTCCCACCAACACCCTCGTACTGGCAGTCTGTCAAGACGGCGTCTCTTCTCGTTCTCTCTACCTTAAACTGCCACAGAAGCCCTTTTTTTCAGTTTATTTTGTCAGATTTTTTTCTGTCTAGTTTGTTTTCTCTAATGGGTGTAAATGAATTCTTTGCTTGGATTTTGTTTTGTTTTTGTTTTAGTCCTTATGCAATCATAATTTGTGTGAGTGTTCTTCGACACCTCCTTCCAGCACAGCCATCAGACAGCCTTATAATCCTCTTTTTTAGTAGTATAATGCAGGAAGAGAAAAATTTTCCTAACACATCGTGCTGCTTTATTAAAGGTAGGTAAAGCCAGCAATTTGTTCACTCTTCTACCCTTTATTTACTCTGAAGTGATCGCCCAAGGCGTCTAAATGGATGACACATTTTTACTTATGTGAACGGATCGTCTGTTGCCAAGGGGAGAGCAAAAGTTATGAATTAATATTTATCCCAGTAGCTAAAATACGCATAATTTGAGAAGCCGACTGCTTTGCCACAAGTTGTAAGTACTCGACAATTCGACCACCTAAATAGCCAGAGAGGTAGAAAAGGTGGTAAAGTTAGGAGGGAGAGTCATTACTTACTTGCTTGGTTTAATTAATTCAACCCCTTCCTCGCATCCCTCCTTCCGCCTTCGCCTTGTCTACAACAAAGGAGTCGCCTGTCACACCGACACAGGCAGGTATGTGCACTCATTCCTCTCCTGCCTGTGGCTCGATTTACAGGGCGACAAGGAATTTGCTGGCGGCTAGATCAAAGCCAGTCTCTCACCAAAGAGAGACACGGGTATGTGGTGAGTAGAAAGGTGAAGAATAGCTGGATCATAATGATAGCAGTGGTGCAATCTACCTGATTCACATAGTTTAATGTCAATGTCCCAAAGTCATCGCCTCCTTCAATTGACCTGCCTCGACGCAGCAGCATAACAAGCCCCTTCTTTTTTTTTTCCTCTCAGGGCATTTTTGACGACTTCTACAAATTTTCACCCTGAGCCAGCAGGCAGTGTGTTTAACTGTTTGATTGTCTACTTAAAGCCTCCGGCCTTAGAAGGCTTCGTCGCCGAGCAGGGAAGTGTAAAGATTACAAGTGATAGATGTCAGAGCGTATTGGCAACCATCTTATCACATCGTCGGTGGAGTGGGCATTGGAAGGCCATTCACAATTCGACAATTGTACTGGTTGAATGAGCGTAAAGAGGTGCTCAAGTGGTTCAGAAGGCGTCACTGATTGTCTGCCTGGAAGGGTATAATGACTTGAAAGATCTAAGAGAAGCGCTTGATTGAGGACTTGTCATCACATTCGCGAATGCAATGTATTTTAACCATTGTTATCCCTGCTTCTTCCCTTTAATACTTTTTTTTTGTTTCAGTAATTCGCAGCTCATTCTGACAAGACCGCCTGGAAATCGGTGGAAGAGGTGTTGAATGTTCTCGTCAGTTGTGTAATACACAGGAGTAAGGGAAGCATTCGCAATGAAATGTCAGTTAAATTAAGACCAATTTTACAGTTTGAAGGGAAGGATGAGTTTCGTCTACCCCAAAAGAACAAATCGACTTAAACTTTTGGTGTTCAGACAAAGCTCCACCACCGAAATTATCATGGTTTTCTACCCATTTTTTTCTCCTCCTCCTCCTCCTTGGATGGTTGGTAAAATTTCGGCGAACTCGATCAAAAGCCGAAGAGCATAAGTACTTTGCTAAACGAAATTATGAGAGGGCGCCGTGCCAATCTCCTCCTCCTGCTCCTCCTCCTCCTCCTCCTCATACTACTCCTCCTCCTCCTCCTCCTCCTCCTCCTGCTCCTCCTCCTGCTCCTCTTCCTCCTGCTCCTGCTCCTCCTCCTCCCTCCTCCTCCTGCTCCTCCTCCTGCTCCTCTTCCTCCTGCTCCTGCTCCTCCTGCACCTCTTCATCCTTCCTTCTTCCGTGTAATGAGCTATAAAAAACCTCGGAGTGATTGCATTAAAATCATTTCCTCATAGCCATTTTCCAAATAATCGAACTTCGGCTGCAAATCTTCTCGAATTTTCGATTTTACAAAAGTTTATGTGAAGTTGTTTCACTGTTCGATGTTTCCTTCACGACCACCTTTAGAATTACACTGATGATGAAGGCCTCCTAAACAAAAAACATTCTGTTTGAAAAATGTCATTGCCATGCCTGAACTCACTCCACCAAGTGGAAAACATTTTTAATCACGTAAGGCGTCTCCAGTTGTCAATGTTCCCAGATCCGAAAACATGCCTGAAATTCGTTTGAAGAAAAGAAGACAAATCGCCTAATGCGTGTCATGAGTAAAATTTATTATTTTTTTTTTTGGTAACTGCTAACACTTGCATTGAGACAGATTTGTAAGTCTTATTTAACAGTGTTGAGAGCTGACAAAAATTCGTCCCAAACTGTCTCACACATACAAAGGAGGAGGAGGCAGCGATGCAGGAGAAGAGTTAACCTGCGTTACCTTCTTCCCACAAGTCGCAATTTCATGCTAATAAATAATCTTCAAAATTCGCTTTTACTTTCGGCCCCCTGACAGGCTATCAAATGCACTCGGATGTGGGAAAAAAGGATGCGCTACAACAATTCGCAATTGCTCGTCCCCTCCGAAGTTTCCTCCGCAAATACGGAAGCACAAACCATGCGTGTCTTCCGCACACCTCTCTAAGCGGACCATCACATCATTTCATCGGTAGAACAGAATTTCCTTTTCGTGAATTTTTCCCTCCCAAGTGAAGACTTCTTTCACATATAGGCATTATTATGGTGTCAATCACCCATCACTTAACCAGTTAAAAAGGCAGTGATTTAAGAAGGTGTGTAAACTCTTACTGTGCAAGGAAAGACGATGGCTTCAACGTCAACTCTTTGTAGACCAACTGTCTCCATAAGCATGGATTTTTGCACAGTGTTGAACAGATTGTTGTGTTTTTGTATTTAAAAAACCTTGCAAAGTGACAGATTATTAAAATCAAGAAAAGAGAAGAACCTAATTTAAGAGACAACCTCCTTCACCATCCAAAATGGCATATGAGGTCTTCTTAGCAATCAGAATAGCCTAAATTTGTGGCATTTTTTTGAGGCTGCAGGTCATGTCATGTCTTTGTGGTTACACTTGTCTGAGTCTGTCTTCGAAACTGCAATTTGAGGCGAATGCATTCCTGTGAGTCTCATCTCACCCAATCCCCAACATCTTAAGGCTTCCACAATTATCTGTTTGTTGAGTTGTAATGTTTGGAGATCAGAAAAAAAAGTTCTCTTTTCACTCACTTTATTGGCATCATTTAAGGTTTAACTGTCTGTACCAACGACGGAAACAAGATGGGATCCTGAGAACCATGTAAGGAAAAGTTTATGAAATGTGAGGAAGAAGAGAAGGGAAGGATGAAGAGCTGACCGCATTCCTACATCCTGCTAATTCTACAACTCACTCCGATCCAGCTTGGACATGATATTGTACACAAACACACACCCTAAGGTGAGGAGTCCGAGGATAACCGCTCTTCCTATCTGTGGTTTCAGCTGGCAGAAGGTGAACAGTTTAGTATGAAAGAGGCTTCAACTGGTTGAGTGACATGCAATTTTACACACCGAGAAACTTCAACAACTCAACATCGATTTGTGGTGACATTTGCTGAGAAAAGAGATGCAGACGACATGATGATGGTGATGATGGTGATGTGGGTTGGCGAAGAGTATCACGTCGTTGTCAACGAAGCGACAGACTGACACATTCCATCTATGTCTTGTGATGTATGCGTATTATGATTTACTTGATTTCCTCAACCTGGGCGTGAAATATCCCCCCCCACCCAAAGTGGGGACAATTCTGAATATTTTTTACTTAATTCCACTTCAATTGAAGTTGCAGTGTCAAGTGCAAAGTCCAGTCTGTGATGTGCGCGCAGTGATGGATGGAGGGTGGCCGACGCCCCTGACGATGTCACCTGGTTTTAATTATGCGCTTTCAAAAATGCAGCAATGTTATGCTGCATTTGACGTTGTCAGCAATGAGAGCCCATCAGTCCCTTTGATGCGTTCATTGCCAAACAATTTGAGAGGTCTGAGAAGAAGTTACTTGAGCAGTACAACTTTTAAACGATGGCATGCAAAAATTGGTACTTTTGTTCGTTGAATGGTGAATCTTCTTTCCTAAGGTGAAATGTAAATCTTTTATTTTTCTCAATGACTTGACAGTTTCTTCCAAAGGAAGGAATTTTATCATCGACAACGGGTAATCCAACGCCTCCAGTGGTGTTTGCTAGGTCATGAGGTCATTCCACTGGGAATCCACCGCACCATCACTCCATCGTTTTGTCATTTTGCCAGAATTTATAAATGCGCTCTGCATGGGAGTTGTAGTGGAGAACGGAGGAAGGAATCCTTTCCTCACACACTTGTCTGCCACAAGCAGAGGATTTATTTTTTCCCTCCCATACA